TATGCCCATCTCTGCCTTTTTCTTAGGTACAAAGTTTGGTGCCATGCTGGACATGTTGACAGACCGCTGTGCGACCATGTGTTTGCTGGTGAACCTGGCACTGCTGTACCCATCCTACACTTTCTTGTTTCAGCTCAGCATGTGTCTGGACGTGGCCAGCCACTGGCTGCACCTGCACAGGTGTGTTCAAAACATCTTTTATCCAATAGAGTGCCGCAGGAATGAGTCCTAAATCCCGAAAAATTAGGCATTTTTTAATTTCTGGTCCCATCATCCCAAAGTCAATGTGTTTTTAATGTGAACAGTTTTTGGTTAAATGCTTGAAATAAGGGCTGCATTAAAAAGCATGGTCTATATATAGAATGAATGTAATCTGGATGTACTACCTTTGTCATGTTGTCATTGTCATGTGACGTACCGGCATCACTTGTGTTGCTTCATTGCCTTTTTCCTGTTACTATCCTCTCATGGGATTGTAAAGTGTCCATTAGAGGTCATCCAAGGACTTTTTGTCTACTTTTTTATGAATACTGTGAATTTGGACATATTACTCCATTCACTTTCTTTTTTTGCCTACCATATAGCAGGGAAATATGCAATTTCAGAAAGGAGCCAAGGTCTGTGGTTAACACAAGTTCAATATATGTTAACGTCTTATTCTACAACATAGCATACATCTGTTTTTAAAGGGGTGGTTGAAATTGGGCAATTTCACTTTTTTAATGTTAGTTAGTGTGTAATGTTGCTGTTTGATCATAAACAATATCTGCAAAGTTACCAAAAAAAACAGTCAACCACCCCTTTAAAACATTTACGTGTCTTGGAAAAAAGCGGTTAATGGGACTAGAGAGGTTGTCGGGGACATAAAATTTCATCACGCTGAATAGGAAAGCTCATCTACTCAAAGGTTGGCTTTTACAGCCTCACTGTGTTTATATATATATACACGCCCTTGCAGATTATTCTAACTCAGTTTCCAAATAATAGATTTGAAAGACTTTGAAAATTGCCAAAAGTTTAGTGGTGGTGACGTTGTAATCATGTGGCTGTGCTGTAGTTTGTTTATAGCCTAACGTTAGCTTTTTACTTAGTCTTATATTTAGGCTTCAAAATTCATAGAAGCTGTGTTCATTTCTGAAGATTATCATGATGAACAAAATATTGTAAATTAAATGTAAGCTAGTAGGCTACTAATTACTAAGCTCAAATGAGTTAATGTCACGTTGCACACACACGAGGGACGAGGAGACGCTGAAGAATCTGTTGACAGGACTTTATTTGCATGAACCAAGGGAGACGAACACAG